ATTTACAATGTGCTTTGGGAAGTTTTATAAGTTTTTTATATTTAAAAACTTGGAAACTGAAATTGAAAGTAATTTTTAAAAGGCAGGGACAACATGGTACTTAGTACCTGTTGTCATAATGTGTTTGTTATTAAAAGTTCGAGCTGTAACATTATAAATAAGTATTTATAATGTTAAAGGTATAATTTAAAGAACGAGTAAGTTCATTCTTTGGGCAGCATTTTGTATTGAATTTGGAAAAGCCACGCCCACACACAAAACATTTATTGACAAGTAGGATTGTATAGTTATACATGGCCGACGATATGGTACCCTTTACCGGTGATTATGTTAAAAATCGGATTATTTTTTATTTTCTTGATTTTTACCCTTATTCTGAAATATTTCAACAATTTGTTGACAAAAAAGAGATTTTCTAAAAGATGGAGAGAAATAATGGACCAATTTAAGCAATAGGCTTCGTTTTCGGGTCAAAAGAAGGGTAAGAGCAAAATTTCATCAAATTATCTTGACAATTGCATGGGTTTGCATGGACAGATTGACAGACTGACAGTCTTTCGGTGTTAAAAACATCAGCAGACTGACAGACTGACGCACTAACGGACAGATGGACGGACGGGCAGACAGATATAGCTAAATCGACTCAGAAAGTGACAGACTGACAGTCTTTGGATGTTAAAAACATCAGCAGACTGACAGACTGACGGACTAACGGACAGACTGACGGACAGATGGACAGACGGGCAGACAGACGTAGCTAAATCGACTCAGAAAGTGATTCTCCCCACCTATAGGTGTAGGAGCAATATCTTTGGGTGTTACAAACATCAGCACAAACCACTATAGTGGTATAGGGTACAAAAATCGAATACTATGAATGACAAATAACAAAAGTTTACATCCGTATGTGGAAGTGAAAACTCAAGTATTTGAGTTTTTTTAAAGAGGTATTAATATCCGTAAGAACCTACATATTTAAGTGAAATTTTTTCTCGCATCTAACTAAATTATATATTTAATCATAAGTTAATAAATTTTCGAAACAACTTATTACTTAACATGTTTTCTTAACTCATATTGAATAAAAAATTAAAACTCAATAATATTGAGTTTTCTTAAATACAATAAAACAATTTAATATCACAAGTAATTTAATTTACCAACATAATGACAATCTATTTTGATTTGAAATCAAATATTCAAAAATTTATAAAACAACATATAACATTACAAATATAAATGTGTGTGTGTGTTATAAAAACCTCTTCAAATAAAAGAAAATTTTATTAAAATTTTCAAATACACATACATAGATTTTCTTTATTGGTATTAATTTCTAATAGCAAACAAACATTTGGATGAGAAAAAAAGACAAATATTCATATAATTAAATTTGCATTTCTGTTTTTTTACACAAATTTTCATATAACCCACACACTCTTTTTTTCAGCAAATAAGATTTAAATAAATTACAAAAACATATAAGAGAGTTTCTTTCTGTCTTCTAATTTTATTTTACAGCAAACAGTATCCAATTTCAAAATTACTTATTTGAAGAATGTTCTTTCGCATGTTACTGAAAATCGAAGGAATTTAATTGTAGTCACGAATTTATTATACACACATACATACACACATACATTCGGTACATAGATTTCATGTATACATTCATGAAATACAATTCATATAAATTCTTTAGCACCATTAGAAAATATTTACTCATATGCTGAAGAGCTTTATTTGGTGGCAAAGAGCAAATACTAAATACATACGCACATATATTTACATACATCTATGTATTTACATTGGCTTTACATACATATATACTCATACATATGAACATAAGCCCAACAGTTTTTCCAGGAGTCAACATCCATCTTTTAGGCAGTAATTTTGAACCAGTTTTGGTTCATTTGAGTCCTCTATACTACTTATGTAATACAGATAGGAAGTCAATTATTGCTTAAGTGTCCCTAAGTAGTCCAAAGAGAAGTCGCTGTTTTTGCACCCATAAAAAGTAGTCATTAAATCCACCACAATCAATCGACTGCGGAATCGATTTTCATTTTTCAAATAAAGTTAATTGTGTACGTTTCTTACTAACACCGGTACACGATAAACGAAATCGCTTCTCCGAACAGCAGGGTATCCACATTTACACTTGTATATGGGTGAGTATGAGTATTTATTATTAATTTATGTGTTAGCGTTCACAAATATTATGAATTTTTAAAATATTTTTACTTATTTAAATATTTGTATATGTATTAGATGATTTGCAGTAGTGGCAAGGATTTGGTTGGTGTTAGGGTGTTAAATTATTAAATTTTTTACAACACATCATCGAATATTTTCAAAAATTTCATATGGATGAAAATGAGGTTTTTCGGTAGTAATTGAAAAATGTTATTAAATTTATCTAACTAGACAATGTAATCTGGGGTAGGGTAATATAAAACTACTACAAGGAGCGGACATACTATTTGGGTATAAGTGGTACCAAGAGCACAACGTCAATAAAGGCTCTGAAAACGTTGTTAGATATTCCACCCATTGAAACATATATAAGTTATGAGGCGTTACTTAAAGACAAAAGACTAACAAGTTCAGGCGATTGTAAGAAAGCTTTAAACGAATACTCTTACAGAGGTAATCTTTGTGTCATATGGGTAACTGGTCACTCGTTGCCAACTACTCCTGGCAACGAAAGAGCAAATACTTACTTTAAACTGAAGTTAAATCGAAGATTACCTGGCGAACGCAAGAATATTCGACCCAACGAGAGCCGGGTTAAAACTATGGGCGAGAGAATCCTATGAAATCTGTACAACGATCTATCCTATAGAGATAAGGACGAGAAGTCTCCTCAATGTTTTTTGTCAGGATTTCACCGAAATTATGTTCATATATATTGGATTGCTGCTGTAACATCCACGTCCACTGATTTAAAAATTCTTAGGAATTATGTCCAGGAAGCTAAATTACGAAACATCGGACAATAATACCTTCATTATTCACATTACTACGCACTGGATAATAAAGTAACCAAAAGGCTAGTGCATAGACTAGTCTATAGTCAATTTAAAACTAGAATAGTTTATGACTAGTCAATACGCCAGTACAGAGGCTAGTCAATGAGCTGGCTAACTAACGAGTCAATATTTTAGTCAATGTACTAGTTAAAAGACTAGTCAATAGACTACTATCAATCAAATTGTGCTCAACATCAAAAAGTGTATTCGATTCTAAGGCGGTCAATCCGTCTGTCGGTCAGTCTGTCTCTTAAAAATATGACCTAAATGCAAGGAGCTAGGGGATAATAATTACACTTTGAAGTAATTAAAGTTTTACCAATTACAATTAACTGTAATTCAAGTTTTTCTGCCAGTTAAGTTAATTGTATTTGAAGTTAAAGTTTTGCCAATTACAATTACTAGTGTTAGAATTACTTTTAATTACAAGTAATTGTAAGTGGTAAACTTCAATTACAATTACATGTAATTGTAACTTGTCAAAATTCAATTAATTGTAATTGTAATTGGTTACTGATCAATTACAAATAATTGTAATGGGGAAAACTTCAATTATAATCTCAACTAATTGTAATTGATTATTGATCAATTGCACATTACAAGTAATTGTAATTGACCATATAAATGATTACTTTATGTAATCATTTTCCCCCTATAGACAAGTTTGTTATTAGAATTTAGTCTCTCCTTGAATTCTAAATAGGTCGATCTATAATTAACCCAAGTCCACATAAAAGGCCCTCTTCCGAAAATCACCCTAATGATCATATTAATATACTCTTACTTGTTTTGTTTACATTACAATGTTAGTGGTTCTCTTAATAATACCAAAAGGTACTTAATAGTACAATGTCCTAATTCTAAAAGTACTTTTTAAACTTTTTTTTCAATAATCTTCTCAAAAACATTAAAACTACACAAAGTCGAGGACTTTTTTTTAAATTTCAAAAGTAATTCCATTACAAATTGACTAAATAATCCCAATAAATTAACAAATAAACAAGGATTTTTAATAACCAAAACGGCAAACAAAACAAAGTGCACAAAAAAAAAACAAAAAAGGTTTTGAAAAAACTCCAAAACAAGAAATATTTTGGGAGTTTTCAGACCCAACTAATCCTAATGTAAATTTATTCCATTAAAACGATAAAACACGAAAAGGATACTTTTTATATTAATCCATTTTTTCAACTTTTAAATGATTATACAACAAATAATGAGCTAAATAAAACAAGCAACAAAATAAAAATTATGCCTTTTTTTTCAAATAGGAAAAGAAATTTAAAGGAACTATTTGGCACTTTAAAATGACAAAAAGAATTATAATATTGATATAAGAAAATAAAAACGGCCATGATAGCAATATCTGCTGCCACCATAATAGGAATTAACAAGGGTGGCAAAACATGGGTCATTTTAAGCCTGAAGAGGGAAAGAAAAGCAAAAACAGTAACAGGGCATAAGACAATTTTAATGAGCAATTGTCACACACAAAAAAATATGTACAACAATAGCTCCCCTTCAAAAATGGGAAAAATTAAATGACAAAAATACGTTAAAATGAAAAACAGAAATCACTTAACAAACAGCCAATGATGCGGGGATTTAAATAAACAGTTACGCTGATTTAATTTTACTTTAACTTCTTTTTCTTCCGCTCACTAAACTGTCTTAGATACCAAACGTCTAAGGCTTCATACCACATTTTAAATTGAGACAGCAACAGTGACAATGTAATGTAAATCTTTTTAGTTACAGTTGATTTAATTTTTAAAGAAAGCATTTCTTATTCCCATTTCTTTTTGTTTATTTCCTTAAGTTTTCTTTTTTCATTTTAAATTTTTAGTCTCCAAAAGGAAACAGCAACTTGTCTTGTTTTTTTCAATTTAATTGGCAGCAAATCATGCCACAATTTTGGTCTTTTTTTCAAAATGTTCTTTTATTTTTTTGCATTTTTGTTGTACTTACCTCTCCCACTGCGGCCCACAAAACGTAAATCATTAAATTTGGCCACTTGATTTTTCATCACTGCCGTACAGTTACGCAATTCACCACAAAAGTTTTCATCATTACCGGCACGTATTGTTACAATGGTACCATCCATTACCTCACCCAGTGCTAAAACTTTAAAGGCAATTGGCAGCGTTTTATTCGAACGCCAATGTGTGGGTAATGTGGTGCAGACCTGTAAGAGAAAAGATACATAATAAACAGGTTAGATAGCAGTTTATTGCCTAACAACTTCTTCACATTCTAATAAACCAATATTTACTGAGAAGTCGACACTCAAACTTACAATATGCGGTGATCCAGTCTTAACAAGTTCTCCCGGATGTTCGGCCAGCAGAACATCAACAGTTCTTTCAATTAGATTTTCTGGAGTTAAATAGGGACTAGTATCCACGGGTTTTTTAGTGGAGGCACCTTCTTTACTATTATTGTTGTTATTTGTGGTATTCGAATTATTGTTATTAGTTTCATTATTAGAATTACGGTTACTGGAACCTTTTTTGTTTTGATTTGTGGAGCTGGTAGTGGTAGAACTCACTTCACTGGTAATGTGCATTTTTAAAGATTTTTTTAAGCACTTTTTTCTATTACAAACACTTGTTTTTAAATTATTAATAACATAATCATTTAAGCCTTAAAGTAAACCACACAACTATAATAAACCTTTATAAATTAAGAAAATATCCCAGAAGTTTTAGTTTTAAAGTGTTTTTCAACTAAACTTTATTACACTTAGCAATAATAAAATTAAACATTTTTTTTTCAATTAATATTTATTTGTTCTATTTTTAATATTATTTAACAAACAAAACCGTCCTTTCATTTCAAACTTTGACTTGCGATTAAAATCATCATTATTGATATTTTTTATTTTTGTTGATTAAACCATAAAAAATTAATTTTGTTCTTTTTTTCCAATTGTTTTTTTCTTTATTATTTTGTAACAATTACAAAACAATTGTATGAAAAAAAAAACAAATAGTCAGAAATTCAGTTTAATCATTACAATTACAGACATGCACGTGCTTGCAATTAAACACCAATACATTCATATTTTTACAAAACAAGAGCAACAGCAACGACAACATCACACATCTGTTTCCTGTTTAATACACCAAAAAATATCCTGTTAACTGCGTGCGGTGTATCATAATTTCAACATTTGTTACAAGGGTCAGTCTATATTTTGTTCAGTTTTTTTGTCTTTTTTTAATTTCAAGTCTGTTTTTTATTTACTGAGTTTGTGTTGGTAGTATTTTTTTGTTTACAGTTGCAATATTTTTTCTGTAACAAAATTTTTATTCACAATTGTCGCTTTTTAAAATATCTTTTTTTTATTTTTCATTACAATTTCCGCCTTTTGTCAGTTTTATTTGTTTTGTTTTTTTAATTTTGTGTTGAATATGTGTTTGCAAAGTAATTTGTACCGTAAAATGGTCTTAAATCATTACCAAATGTATATTTACAAATTATTTAAAGTTAACAAAAATAGACTCAAACTTTGGAAAAAGAAGATTTAAAAGGCATTATTTTCGAGCTATTGATAACAACAATGTGAGATTCGTTTGTATATTTCGTTTCTAACCTGACTTGCACATATCAGATCAGTAGTTAAAATTTTATTCCAGCTAATAATTATGCTAAATAAGGATGTGGGCGTATACTTAATGTTTAATTATCTAAAAATTTCATAATACTCATACGCCGCAACGTCTAGAACTGAACTAGAACTGAACTAGAACTGAACTAGAACTGAACTAGAACTGAACTAGAACTGAACTAGAACTGAACTAGAACTGAACTAGAACTGAACTAGAACTGAACTAGAACTGAACTAGAACTGAACTAGAACTGAACTAGAACTGAACTAGAACTGAACTAGAACTGAACTAGAACTGAACTAGAACTGAACTAGAACTGAACTAGAACTGAACTAGAACTGAACTAGAACTGAACTAGAACTGAACTAGAACTGAACTAGAACTGAACTAGAACTGAACTAGAACTGAACTAGAACTGAACTAGAACTGAACTAGAACTGAACTAGAACTGAACTAGAACTGAACTAGAACTGAACTAGAACTGAACTAGAACTGAACTAGAACTGAAACTAGAACTGAACTAGAACTGAACTAGAACTGAACTAGAACTGAACTAGAACTGAACTAGAACTGAACTAGAACTGAACTAGAACTGAACTAGAACTGAACTAGAACTGAACTAGAACTGAACTAGAACTGAACTAGAACTGAACTAGAACTGAACTAGAACTGAACTAGAACTGAACTAGAACTGAACTAGAACTGAAACTAGAACTGAACTAGAACTGAACTAGAACTGAACTAGAACTAACTAGAACTGAACTAGAACTGAACTAGAACTGAACTAGACTGAACTAGAACTGAACTAGAACTGAACTAGAACTGAACTAGAACTGACTAGAACTGAACTAGAACTGAACTAGAACTGAACTAGAACTGAACTAGAACTGAACTAGAACTGAACTAGAACTGAACTAGAACTGAACTAGAACTGAACTAGAACTGAACTAGAACTGAACTAGAACTGAACTAGAACTGAACTAGAAGCTGAACTAGACTGAACTAGAATTGAGCTAAAACTGATTCAGAGTACATACGGATACTTAATTTGCAATTTATTGAAAATTAGATAGTACTCATACGCCTTCGTTTGTATATTAATTATTCCACAGTGGGAATTATTGGAAATTCAACACAATTATAATTTCTGATTTACTTGAGAAAGAGTCTGTAACGAGATTTTATATGCTACTTTTACTAGTACAACAATAAAATAACATTTGAAAAATCTTATTTTTACTAAAAGTGCCAAAGATCGATTTCCAAAACCCAAGAAATAACTCAATATATATATAACTCAATATATATTTATAAAATACACAAGCACACTAAAAATGTGTAAATTTGTATAAAATAATTATATTCTTCATAATATTTACGGTATGAAACCTCGCTCTAAGAAAGTCAAAACCATAGAATATCCCTTAGAATGCTTAACTCAAATGACAGTTATCGCTAACAAATTTAAACTTGTAGCATATAAAACTTAAAACTCAATTAAAAAAATTAAATATATATTACGTCATATAAAACATGTTTAATAAAGAGTATTAAAAAAATGCAAATGAAAAAAATATGTTTAATTCTTCACTGCTTTATTTAAATATACTTGTTCAAAACACAGTTACCAATAAAATTACCAGCAAATGCTACCAAATGCTCATGACGGGTCAAAAACTTCTACAAATACTTATTTTTTAAATCAACTCACAGAGGCTCTAACTCTTGCTTTTGGAATGAATTAACAAACAAATTTATAGCTCTGTGATGTGTTGCGTGTGTTTGTTTTTTTATTTATTAAAAAAATAGCGCGAAAAATAAAACTTTTGCTTCCGTTTTTATTTTTTATATAGCATATAAAAAAAATTTCAAAAAAATATACATCAGATAAAACAAAAAACAAATACAATTGTTGGCCATATTGTGTGCTCTCTGGTCAGCGCTAATAAAATCAAACGCACAGACATATCTTTATGACCATTAAGCCAGACCTACAAATTTAATTTCAAAATTTTTTTTAAAACTTTTTCTATATTACGCTTCCAATATGTTAAACAAAAACTGGTTACGAAATTGATATTCAATTTATTAGCATGTTCTTTACCATTTAACATGTCCAAAGGTTAGTTGGAAACCAACTTCCTTAAGCTATGTTGAGTCCTTGTGCTGGTCTAATATTTGTATATGAAAACTGAAAAAATATATTTGAATTTTTTTTTTTTTCTTTAAATAGAGCTTCATGTGAATGAAAATATCAAAATAATATAAAACAAAATTTCGGCATGTAAGCCGACTAACTTGGGTCCATAATTGACCCCGCCGTAATAACCTAACGGGGCATGCCTCCATGAACCAACCTGTAAAACGAATCTATGTTGCGACTATCGATGCAAGAAATTCCTGCCAGCTCATGCTTAATGGAACGGCCCATAGTGACCAATCTTATGTTGGACAGACAGGAAACAGACAAAAAAAGTATGCGACAGTTTCCATCTAATTCTCGTCATTGCAACGGCTGTCAGTAGTCTCATCCCTTACGAGATATATCTATCAATGATAACAACCTGACGTTGGACAGGTCAGCATTGCTGTCGAACACATAGTCGTAAATGACCATCTGGTCTAAGTAGACCAGAACATCAATGTCCCTTTCATCAAAGCGAGAACCAGTTTTATCCAGTTTATCTGCAATCCCATTTCCAAGTATAATGCAGTGATCAGGCTTCCAGGTTAGAGATCAAAATAGATATAACGATACTTTATTATATCCAAATAACTTCCCCCATTAAACTGTTACAAACAGCTTAATAAACCAATATAAACCTCTCCATTTGGTATAGCCAGTCAACCGGTTAAGGCTTATGGAAATGTATAAAAAACGTAGTAAATAAATGTGAGAGTTGGTAAATTAACAGTTGCGGAAAATGGTTGACCGACAAATAATATAAAAACATATACAAATACACTCATACTCACACACATTTAAACACTCAATATGGTGATATATCACAGTGATAAAATAAAAATTTGAACAAAAAAATCAAAAACAAATGCCTCACATCATATAAAAAATATTTGAAATTAAGGGCCTGGGAACTCCTGTTATGTACTTAAAAAATATACTATTTTTATAAGTATACACTTGTTTTATTTATATTTAAATTGAAAAAAAAAGAAACAAATAAATAAATATAAAAATAAAAACAAAGTAAATAAAAACTTAGAAACAGTTTTCAATTGTATTAATACTATGTATGAAAGTTTGTCATTGTTCATCATTTAATCAATGTTGCAACTACAACAACAACAACAAAAACTCAAATAGTTAAATGTTGCAATATTTTTGCAATGATGCCATCAATTATTCAACTGATCGTAATGCCACAAAGATTATACATTATTATGATTGTTGTTGTTGTTTTTTTTTTTATTACAAATTATTTGTTTTTGTTTATTTTTTTTAATTTTGCATTATTACCACATGTGTGGTAGTGCGGTCTATAATGCACAATAAAATATGTTGCACACACAAATATAAACAAATAGTTAAGAGTAAATTAAACTTTAAATACATTTTAACCAGAACGGAGAAACAAAAAAATATGTTTTTTTTTTTTTGTTAAACATTAATATAGATTAATTTTTAAGTTTTTAATAAATACATACATATGTACATATTTTCTAAGGACTTACACAAGTATAAATAAACACTAATATGTTATTAAATCCTAATTTGTCTTAAGTACCTACAAAATGTCCAACTGTTGAAAACACGATATTCTTCATTGATACAATTTTTTGGTATTGAAAATGGCCAAAATCGGTTCACATAATTCAAATAATTGTGACCATATATATGTATCCGGAAAAAACTTCAGAACTAGTCCCCGTTTTAGTTTATGACCATCCCGTGCCAAACTGTATCATAGTCCTCAAAATACTTTTCAAAATACTTTCAAAATCGGTCTGCTATACATTTTGACGCCATAACT